ACTTCAAATGTCAACTTTTCCTTACGGTAATGCTTGGAATCACCGAAAACCACGTCGAGAGCGATCTGGCCAAGTGATTTGGCTTTCTTTCCGGGGATAACACCATGGAAACTCATATTGCTCTCGCTAAGTTTGGACATCGGAATGCCCATCCCCTTCAAGGTTTCAGCATAAAGGATATTCAGACCGCTACCACCGTCCATCGGCACTTTAGTCAGTTAAGTGCCTTCGACCACGGGGTCGACCACCAGTGCTTGCCTCCCGGGGGTGGCTACATGAGCAGGATGGTCAGACTGGTCGAATGTGATGGCTGTCTGAGACCATTTCAGGTATGTGGTCATCACCGCCGGAGCAACCATATTCACTTCTCTGTTGATAACTTTCAACAGACTCTTGCTCTCAACATCTGCAAAAATCATGAGGGTGGAATTGACTTTGGGATAACCGTCGTCTTCCTCTTTGTCCGACTCTTTCTCCTTCTCATTGGGTTGTTTTTCTTGGAACTGCTGGATCAGGAGTCGACATTGCCGAGTGGTATGCTTAGGGTAGATCAGATTACCTTCTTCATCTTTCTCCAAGTGGATGTGACATGGCAAATCCAACACATCATTCCCTGCTTGATCCTTTACATTCTTAGGGGGCCAGGGCCCTTTTGGTTTTCCCTTAAACTTTCCTTGAGCCACTGCCGCAATCTCACCGGGTGCCGCTGGCTCGACCTTACGCTTCTGTTTCCGACTGGAATTACCTCCACCGGCCTCTTGGCCGACTGGCTTACTCTTCCCGCTACGGAGTCGATCCTCTTCTTATTCATTAGGGTACCGGGTGGCTATCTCCATCATCTGAGTCAGAGTCATATCTCCAGTCCAACCGAACTTCAGGATCAACTCTCTGTATTTGACGCCTTCCTTGAAGGCGCACACTGCTTGATGCTCTGATACATTTTCAACAGTGTGATGCAAAGTGGTCCACCTCTGAATGAAGTCCCTCAAAGTCTCACTCGGCTTCTGCACACAATGTTGTAACTAGGTCAATCCTGCTGGTCGCTTGCAAGTGCCCTCGAAAGTTCTGACGAACACTCGAGCCAACTCTTCCCAACTGTATATACTGCATGGAGCCAACTGAGTCAACCACGCTCGGGCCGACCCTTCCAACATCAGGGGAAGATGTTTCATCGCTACTTCATCATTTCCGCCTCCAATTTGCACAGCCACTTGGTAATCCTCAAGCCAAGTTTCGGGCTTGGACTCTGCAGTGAACTTACTGACCCCGGTTGCCAACCTGAAGTTGGGAGGAATCACCACCGCCCTGATGGCTCTGCTGAAATACTCTGGTCCTGAAACATGCACTCTGCTGCCACTTGGACGATCTCTTCCTGGGTCTTCCCTATGCGCTCTGTTCCGGTCGACCAGGCCTTGAACGAGAATGGATCTCGCATCGAAGCCTGGCTCCCTTGGGTCGACTGGTGCTCTGCGCTCGCCACAGTGAAGGCGTCTATCATCGTTCTACCGAGGCACATATGATGCGCTCCTCAGAGGAGGCGTAGGCACTCGACGACGATTGTCGCAGTCGAGCTGACGATCATACTGTCCACGGCCTTCACGGCGCAGGGGCGATCTTAGGCTGTGGGCCGACTGAACTGTATCCGCTACTACGGATCTGCTGTGAATCCTATTCCGCGACTGAGACACTGCGGTGTTCTGCTCTACTGCTGCCCAGAGCAGGGCCCGGATCTGCATCAACCCTCTGCCAGCCTCCGACTGGGAAGGTTGGATCAACTCTGCTATTCGGGCCGCAGCTGTGAGGTTCTGAATCGGAGTACGGTATACCTTAGGTGGAGGCGGGAAAAGTTGCCGTCGACTGGACTCAGGGACCCGCTCCCAAGCCCGCTCGTCGAGAGCACGCTGCAGGTTCTCCAGTCGAGTGCGCTCAGCCAAATTAGCCAAGCGCGCCTCCTCCAAGGACCGAGCCTCGGGGGTTTCTCCAACGATGGGCGTGTGGAGTGCATCCATGTTGCAGCAACTTCACCAACAAGTTGCTAAGACACCTGCCCCACGGTGGACACCAACTGTCGTGGTTCTAAGGCTGATAGTAGAAAGGGGGTAGGTATGGAGAGGCAAGATCTCAGCTATGGTGAAGGTGTACACATGAGTTTTACGAGTGCAGGCCCTTCTCAGAGGAAGTAACAGCCCTACGTCTTGGTGCCCGGAGGCGGTCGATTAGATTATATGTGTGGTGTTATAGGGGGTGCGAACCCTTGTGCCAGAGGAGGAGGGTGGCTTATATAGAGTTCGCCAGGACCCTCTCCGCCCTCCATTACAAGGGACTTAACGTACATAAAGTGGGGGCGTTACTGGTAACGCCAGCCTTAAGTGTTGTTAATGACCTTAAAGACTACGGAGTGAATGCCTGCCCGTTGTAACGCTGGGTGACTCCTACTCTTCGGGAGATCGAGTGATTCTCTGGATGGTCGAGTGACAGTAGGTAGGAAGACTCCTGAGTGACATGATGTCGAGTGGATTGCACTCGACATCTTCGAATGGGGGTCTCATGCTGCCTCTTGAACTTCTTGTCTTTTTGGGTAGTGATCTTGGGTAGGACGTATAGGTCAGGCCTATGACCCTACCCCAGGTCTGTATCCTCATCATATGAAAATTGCACCGGGAGTAAAAATTGGATCAATGTCCACTTGCCCATGTTGGCCACCCAAATTGCGATCGACTGGGTCTTGCCACATGTTAGTTATGCATAATGTGCTGAAATGAGTGCAATCCGGAACAGTCTATTCTTGACAGGAAACATTGGATGCAATAATATGATCATTGAATCTAACAGTATGCTGGCAGTGGAAGCAGTTACACATTCAGATGTTTATTTGGGGCCCGATGTGGTGGTACTAGCAGAATGTATCGTCCTTGCTACACATTGCGCAAATGTTATCTATTGTTATTGCTGCAGAGAAGCCAATCAGGTTATCGACTTTTTAGCTAAACATTCTTTTAGGTCTAGCTTATCTGATTTTTGGGATTCTACTATCCCAGACTTTATCCTGCCTCAAATTGTAGACGATATGTCTATCATATAAGAAATAAAGTAGTTTTATGTTCAAAAAAAAATTCGATCGACTAGGCCCATTGCGTATGAAACCTTTAAGAAATCACACCATAATCGCCATTAAAAGCGCCAATCCCACAAAAATATCGATCCAATTAAATTACGGAAAAACTAACGCCCACACGTGTGGGTGTTTGCACATTGCCCACATGCCTCCATCACCACTCATTTTGCCACGTATGAACAGATGACATCAGCAGATTTTTTTTTCTTTTTGGCTTAAAAATGTTTTATCTCCTAATTAAAAAGTGAATTAAAAATCCGCTTTCACCATTAAATCCGTCTCGACGAGATCTTCAAAACTAGACCCCATGTTGATATGTTTTGACGAAAAAAAAATTTGCCCAAAAGTTGCCATGATGTTTACACTGTAGTTGCCATAGTGCTTAAACTAAAATTGCCATGTGGCAATTTTAGTTTGTAGATCATGGCAATTTTAGTTCTTCGATGATGGCAATTCCAGTACTTTGACCATAAAAATATTGTTTTGTATGAACCATGGCAATTTTAATTTATGGTGCATGGCAAGTCTAGTTTCTTAATTCCCCGTTTTATAATATGTCAAAATTACTTTTAAATGTTGAAGAAAATAGCTGAAACATATCATGGCAACTTCAGTGTAAACACCATGGCAATTCATGTGCAATAGACACGGCAACTTTTAACCAAATACAAAAAATCGTCGAAATATATTGATATAAGATCTAGTTTCGAAGATCTCGTCGCGAGGGATTTAATGGTGAAAACGGATATTCAATCGGATTTTTCATTGAAGAGATAAACCATTTTAAAAACAGAAAATCCAAAAAGATTTTCACATGCATGCATGCGGTGACATGGCGTAGTCTGTGTGCTATAGGGCGTGTGGGCGGATTTAGCTCCCACCACACGTGTGGGCGTTAATATTGTCTTTAAATTAAATAACGTGAGAAGGCAAGAAATCTTGTCGACGCCCACCTGTGATCCCCATTAAAATCGCCAATCCCAGGAAAATCACAGTCCAGTTAAAGCGCCAATCCCAGGAAAATCACAATCCAGTTAAAGCGCCAATTGTCCATGCGATTACTCCTATAGATCGTAGTCGGGCGAGCATGGTCGAATGGCTCCCAGATCGTTCGGATCTGTAACCAAAAATCCGTAATTTACCAATTAACCTTCTCAAAATTTAAAACACGTATGAACAACTTTTTTTGACCCGGGCCTTAACCCCTGTCCATTATAAGCATAACGGAAATACAAAGTTCAGTGACCACAAAACAAGAATAACGACCAAACATAAGGAAGCTATAAAGGGGTAAGGCGAGATCAAAGCACCACTGGGAAACCCACCATGAGCACTCGTCATCGAGCAGCCCATCGCGGGGCGAAAACCCAGTGACACCGAGAATCACGCAAACCTCTAGACCTAAACATAACAGGAAGTCAGCTAGTCTTGTCTTCTTCTTCGATCATCTTTCGGCTCTCTGTAAAACCATGCAGCACACCTCAACTCCGTAAAATGATCCGATGTTTGTTCTCGTGATTTTCCTTTTTGGGAAATGCCATAGATTTTGAAATTGGAACTTTCAAAAAACAGCTTTAGGGAAAATTTGAACTTTCATAAATTTAAGCTTCGACAAATGTGGAACCTCCAAAATTTAAATCTTTGATGAACTTGAATGGCATTGAGGGGCTAGAGCAGATCTTGTTTCATGGGATAAGGCCAACAAAGTGGTCACAATGTCACATGGTGTGTGAGCCCGCCCTGCATTTTGTCTCATCACTTGCCGTCGGACCGCGGCCATGGAGACGAGACGAGCGTCTCTTCTCTGTGTATTTACGTGACACCATCGTCCTCTCCTCCCTACCCACCACCCATCACGCGCACCACGAATCCAAAATCTACACGCATGGGGCACGAGATGGTGGCATCCAACGGCAAAGGCAACGGCGCCGGCCGGAGGACGACGAAGCCGCACGCCGTGGTCATCGCGTACCCGTACCAGGGCCACGTCATCCCCGCGGCGCACCTCGCGCTGCGGCTCGCCGCGCGCGGCTTCGCCGTCACCTTCGTCAACACCGAGTCCGTGCACGAGCAGACCGCGCGCGCCCTCGGCGTCGACCGCCACCGCTACGACATCTTCGCCGGCGCGCGCGCCTCCTCCGAGGGGAAGGAGCCGCTGGACGTGCGGTACGAGCTGCTCAGCGACGGCTTCCCGCTGGGCTTCGACCGCTCGCTCAACCACGACCAGTTCAAGGAGGGCGAGCTGCACGTGCTCGCCGCGCACGTCGAGGACCTGCTCCGCCGCGTCGTCGTCGACCCGGCCTCCACATGCCTCGTCGCCGACACCTTCTTCGTATGGCCGGCGACCCTGGCCAAGAAGTTCGGCGTGCCCTACGTGTCCTTCTGGACCGAGCCGGCCCTCATCTTCAACCTCTACTACCACATGGACCTGCTCGCCGAACACGGCCACTTCAACTCCGCCAAGGGCCCGCCGCGGAAGGACACCATCACGTACGTCCCCGGCGTGCCGGCGATCGAGCCGCACGAGCTCATGTCCTACCTGCAGGACACGGACGCCACCAGCGTCGTGCACCGCATCATCTTCAAGGCCTTCGACGAGGCCCGGCGCGCCGACTACGTGCTCTGCAACACCGTCGAGGAGCTCGAGCCGTCCACCGTCGCCGCGCTGCGCGCTGAGAAGCCCTTCTACGCCGTCGGCCCCATCGGCTTCCCCCGCGGCGGCGCCGGCGGCGGCGGCGTCGCCACCTCCATGTGGGCCGAGTCCGACTGCTCCCAGTGGCTGGACGCGCAGCCGCCGGGCTCCGTGCTCTACGTCTCCTTCGGCAGCTACGCGCACGTCACCCGGCAGGAGCTGCACGACATCGCCGCCGGGGTCCTCGCCAGCGGCGCAAGGTTCCTGTGGGCAATGCGCCCGGACATCGTCAGCTCCGACGACCCGGACCCGCTGCCCGAGGGCTTCGCGGCGGCCTCTGCCGGCCGCGGCCTCGTCGTGCCCTGGTGCTGCCAGGTGGAGGTGCTCGCCCACGCCGCGCTGGCCGGCTTCCTCACGCACTGCGGCTGGAACTCCGTCCTCGAGAGCGTGTGGGCCGGCGTGCCCATGCTCTGCTTCCCGCTGCTCACCGACCAGTTCACCAACCGCCGGCTCGTCGTGCGCGAGTGGCGCGTCGGCGTGCCCATCGGCGACCGCGGCAAGGTGTTCCCCGACGAGGTGAGCGCCAGGATCCAGGGCGTCATATCCGGCCAAGAGGGCCAGCAGCTCCGCCAGGCGCTCAAGAAGGTGACGGCCAAGCTCAAGGCCGCCGCGGCGCCCGGCGGGTCGTCGCAGAGGAGCTTCGACGACTTCGTCGACGAGCTCACCCAGCGTTGCGGCGGCGGCGGACGCACATTGATGACCTAAACGTGGTCCGATCCCATCCGCGGCCTGCATCTCAACCATTCAATGCATTGTATCCTATCCTAGGGAGTAAGTATTAGTAATGTATTGCGTGTTATGGAGATGTTGATCTTTTTACCATAGAAGATGTCCTCCATCCACTATACCTGCTATAAACGACATTTCAAGTAAATTGTCATCGTCGTTGTTGAGTACAAGTTTCATTGTTCATGGTTGTTGAAGTGTACCATATGCATTTTCCATGAAAGTTTTAATAATGGCACAAACGACTTAACCGAACAGATGAAACAAAAGGAAAAAGATGTGGGCACAATCACACCAACACAAGTGAGCAATACCATTGTACGTACTCGTTTTACAAAAAAATTACGCTCCGGTTCAATTTTGATAACGGTTGGCTAGAAGCGTAGGAGCTTCGACAAGTTTGCCGACGAGCTGACCCGCCATTGCGGCAGACGTAAGTTGAGCTAATATGTGGCCCAAAGCTCCGTCACTGATCCTGGCTAGGGAGTTAGGGCATCTTCACTAGTCCCCCCAAGAAGCCTCCCCAAGTCACTTTTTGGGCGCCGGCGGGCAAAAACCGCCCCAGTCAGGCCCCCAACTCGCTGTTTTTCGCCGGTAAGAGCAAAAATCCCGCCGGCAACCCCATACCACACCCAGCGCACTGGAGGGCTCCTGGGAGGCCTAATCTTGCCTTTTTGTGGGCGCTGGCCCACCAGCCAGCGTCTCTCTCCTGTTAATAACTCACTTTGTGGGCGCTGGCCCACCCACGTGCTCCCTCCACGCGCTTGCCTCTTCTCTCTCCCCACCACGCGCTTGCCTCCCCGCCTGCTCGCCGTACTCGCCCTGCGTGTCGTGGCCGCCCTCGACGGAGCGGAGCGGAGCTCGTGGCCGGGCATGGACGGGGTGAGGGTGATGGCCTCCGTAGCGAGCAACTCCGAGGGCGAGCGAGCTCGTGGCCGGGTGGAGCGTGGCCGGGGCGGAGCTAGCGGCCGAGCAAAGCACCTGCCTGCCCGCTCGCCGACTACTCGCTGCCCGAGACCGGCAATGGCGAGCTTGGCGCCCCCCTTCCTCCTCCTCCTCCTCTCCATCCTCGTCGCAGGCTCGGAGGAGCGCCCGCGCGTCACCCCCACCTTGGTCCAGTGCCAGCCGGCGCAGGCGCAGGCAGCCGCCAATGACGTCCTCGCGCAGGCAGCGGGCGGCCTCGGACGGGACGACGCGGTGGCGGCTAGGCGCAGGCGCGAGCAGCAAGCGCGGGCGCGGCCTCAGACGGGACGACGCGGTGGCGGCTAGGCGCGAGCGCGAGCGCAGCCGGCGCAGGCGCGGACGGGGCGGCGCG